TAATTGCAAAAACACATGATTTGATAGGTATATATCAAAAACTTATTTTTTAATAAAAAATGCTTTATCATGATTCTGTCCATTATATTTGAGTGTGTGTTGCATGAGCATGCATGCAGACAGCCATATTTCATATTTGATTTTGATTTCATGTGATGCAGACAACTGGCATGGATCCTATAAGTCGGAGGCATGTATGGGACATTATCGGGGAGGCAAAGAAGGGGCGAGCTATTGTTTTAACAACACACTCTATGGAAGAAGCTGACATTTTGAGTGATCGCATCGCTATCATGGCTAAGGGAAGATTACGATGTTTAGGGACCTCGATAAGACTAAAATCAAGATTTGGGACAGGTTACATTGCTACTGTCAATTTCCAAGGAAGCGCATATGGTAGTGATGCAGGCGCAAGTGAACCTCGAGCGGGGCCCTTGAAGAAATTCTTCAAATTTGTATGTTATATAGACTTTGAGACTATTTATAAATATCGGTTGAACCCTCTTTATAAATATTATTTAACATATTAAATCTGACAGCATTTGAACTTGGATCCGAAAGAAGAGACCAAATCATATTTGACTTACATCATTCCTCGTGAGAAAGAGGGTATTCTGACGGTAATGTATTTTTACAGTTTTTAAGGATATTTTTTGCTAGTGAAGCAAAGCTGCATTTTAATTGTTTGGATTCTAAATTTTCTGCATCATCACAGGACTTTTTTGCTGAACTTCAACTTAAAGAAAAGGAACTTGGAATAACTGATATACAACTCGGTCTCACGACACTCGAGGAGGTATTTTTAAACATCGCAAAGAAAGCAGAGATTGAAAGTTCTGCTGCTGAAGGCACCCTGGTTCAGATCACTTTAGCATCTGGAGCTTCAGTCCAGGTATACAACTTACAACTATATGGGTAATTATCAGCTGATAAATCTTACATGTGAAGTTCCTATGTGGGTAATTATCAACTGACACATCTTACATGTGAAGTTTAATGCTTCATGAATTCTACTGTACATTTCTGCATATGATAAATTCTAAAATTTTGGTGATTCAAATAGTTTCTTGTAAGTTTTTGCAGCACAAGTGATGCTAAATATTGTAATGATCACGATAGACAACATCACCAACTATTAAGAAGTCATAATGCTGATATGATAGGTTGAAAGAACTTTATGTTTCTGAATTCTAATGTTTAGTGTTGCCCTTGTGATATGAATTGCTGGCAACTGCAGACTATGGTGTCTAATTTGTCAATTGCTGACTTCATATAATTGTTGTATTATCACCCAATTGCAGATAAACACCATGTTATTCTACTGATGCAGTTACAACCCTCAGAGTAACTTCTTGACTACTTTACCCTCACGAGGTCTACTTGTCAAAAAGCAATTTCCTCTGAGGGCAAAATAGTATAAAAAAAAAGGGTTTGGGGGGAGGGGGGTGATATCTGCAATTGGGTGATTATTCACTATTAACCCTTTTGACCACACAAATGACTTCTCGCTTAAACGTGGCTTAAGGGTTCTACTTTTCTACTTTCTCATAACAATGCAGATACCTGTTGGAGCGAGGTTCGTTGGAATTCCAGGTACAGAATCGTCGGAGAATCCGAGAGGTCTAATGGTCGAAGTTTATTGGGATCAGGATGATTCTGGTCGTCTCTGTGTTTCTGGCCATTCGGATGAAACTCCAATACCATCAAGCGTTCAATCTGCAGCAAATACTCTCACTCGAAGAGCTTCGCGTGGAAGATCACCTGTTGGATTTGTAATTGATCCTAACCAAATCGCACGTGGTAGTGGTTAGCATTGATATTAGTTAGTTGTCCATACTGCTCCCAGATGTTCTGGAGGTTTAAATCTTGTGTAGGACATAAAGTTTAGTCAGACATTTGCTTAGATAACCATATGTACGAGACTGTTGTACTGTCCATATAATTCTTAGGTAGTGCACCGTACGGAAGTAAGCTGTTAAAATAAGGAGACATTGTTGAGTAGAAGAGAGGGAATTCTTTCCTTGAAATTGAAATGATCTTTTTTTTTTTTGCGACTAATTGTTGGTAATAATGCAGATATGTCTAAGTTAGTAAATTGTCTTTGGTGTTCCTTGTGATAAAATATTCGGAGAATTGTATCATCTCAACATAATTCATTGGTATTGTTAGCAGCAGCAATAGCTTGAATAAGAGGCGGTTCAGGTTGTTTCGCTTGTTTTACCCCGCGTACTTATCCTTCAGTAGATAATTTATGAACTACAACTGCTCTCATTTATAGAGTAATGAGTACAAAGACACTATAGTTTAAAAGGATTAAATCGGTAACATATAAATAAAACAATAAAACAATGCAAGCTAAAGTCAACCAAGAACCTGGCCTTGCTTCCAATTCCAAAGAGATACAACAATACATAGACAAACTCTTCCTATCCACAAAAAAAAAGACAAATCCAGTAAATAGCCATCGTAATAACTCAAAAACATTGTTATTGGTCATAACATTGTCATAAAAGGGCGGTAGCTTGATCAAATGAAAATAAAAGTTCTATTCTTCTGTCTTCCGTCTTCTGATTGATCTATGACGAGTCAGCTGCTCAATATTTACAGGAACGCAAAAAATTCACAGATCAATAATAAATCCAATTATCCTCCATCTCTTTCCCGGAAACTAAATTTCGAAATAAAACACGAGGGCGAGCAACCACCAACAACAATGTGGAGATATTTTTCAGCTTGAGCAAACACAAGATACCATAGCACACAAAGCGCAAAGTTATAAAGACAACCCAAAAGGATAATTTTTCGATGAGATAAATCGAGAACAGCTGATATAGTCGGTATTTTTGTTACAAGCTCAAATCTGCAAAACTCAACCAAGGTTCACAGAAAAAACATAACAACCTCAAATCTGTAAAACTCAACCAAGGTTCACAGAAAAACAAACCAAACTAAACCAACTTTGTGACAGACAGGCAACCACTATACATAACATACCACACTTAAATTTAAAGGCAACAGTCATTAATCAGACTACTCAGGGGGCTATACCAGAGCTTTACACCACAAAGCAGTAACACTGAATAAAATTGCAGATCACCTCATCAGTTAACTTTCCATAAGAGCATCTCTTTTACAGAGATTACCGTCTCCATTCTACTTGGATAGGTTTTTCTGCAACAAAAATTTAAAATCGCTGAAAGTTATGCAGAAAACCTTATTGGATGATGACAGAATATACACAATATGTGAAATGTGACAGGGAAGATAATATAGCAAAGGAAATCAAAAAGCCACGGACAACTTGGTTCTCTTGGGTTTTTGCAATCTATAGTTCTAAACTAAAACCCGACCAGCAGTGTTAGGACATAATTAGAAGGTCAAAGAAGTGTAAATGTCGTAAGTGTACAATGACGCTAGTAATGCTGTGGCTTTGCATGTTAGGCGCCAAAAGATGCAAAATGCAAAATAAGTGTACCAGACTGAAATGGTGAGAGGTCCGATCAATGCATAAAATTAGCTTGAGGGTACGACTTAAACGAAAGGATAGAAACAAAAAGCAAATAGCTGTGTTGCACCAACACATGCTCAAGGCACTCATGTCCTGGCCGACAAGTATATATTCGTACAATGTGCTTGGTGGAGGCATAACAGACATCAGCTGTAGAAAATATCATTTATGTTTCTAAAAAGGTATTTCTGTATATTGTTTAGATGTTTTCTCTTTGTTTTGCAGCTATGTTTTGATTTTGGGAATTTAGATTTTATATGATGTGCTGTTATATCTTAATTTGTAGACATCACACACGAACAAAATTATCTTTTGACATGCCCGTATCCTGGGATATTTCTTTAAATTTTTGTCTGTCCATGCATTTTTAGTCCATGTCCATTAAACATAGGCTAAAAAGCTAATGCACAAGAAACTGACATGACATAAAGATCAGGAATCATACCATTCCCATCTCGTGAGGACAACAAGGATCTGTCACTCTTAAGGCCTCCTTTGCCAGTTGCTTGGAGTATTCTTTGTGTCCTTGGCGAATTTGAAGTCACCTTTCCATTTGTGGATGATGGCAGCGAATGTCGTCTGGTAGTTCCATTCTTTTCTGCTGAATCAGAGCTAAATCTTGGTGAATTTTGTCCTCTTAATTTTGCCTTTGCAGACTCAGTTGCTTGCATATAGCTCGGTAATGTTGGAGAATTTTGTATGCCGTTTTCTGCATATTCAGACTTTGCTGAGAAGGAAGCCCTCCTCTTGTTGAGAAGTTGGCTTTCATTGCAAGTTTGCTCTTCTTTAGCAGTAAACTCCCCATTCACCACAGAAATATTTTCCTCCTTATCGATGATTTGAAGTGGATTTGATTCTGAAGCAGGAGGATTGTCAAACGAAAGGTCAACCGGCCCCTCCATTGTGATAGATTTTGAAGCAATTTCCAAGGCAGGCTTGGGCTCGGTAGTCAATGTACTGTCTTTCTTCGTCTTCTCTGAAGAATCATCAATGCCTAGTTTTAAGCTATCACACGGGGAATCAGCCACCTTCTTGACACTGTGAGATTGTGCATCAAATCCAACTTCTGACTTATCAGTAGTCTCTGCATATGAACTAGACACCTTTCTCAAGTTACGCTTAACCTTCTCAAGCTCAGACTGTGGGTGGTCTTGCACTGAATCAGCAGAAGCTGTAATTTTCTTTAGGTTACGTTTGGGTTTTTCTGGTTCAGAGGTGAAACTGGATGGTCCTGTGTCAACATTTGCAGGTGAACTTCTTCTAACACTGCGCTTTTGTTTGCCTGATTCAATCTCCGCAAGATAACCACCCTTCTTTGCCTGGGGTTTTGAATCCAGAATCTTCTTTGGTTGAGAAGGTTTCCAGAAATGGGAAAATGTCCATCGCTCCATCCAGCTGAGGACTGAATTGGGTTCACCATTTTCATACTGAACTTGAAGAGGTATGACGACCAGCGAGGAAGAAAGAAGCTAAGGATATTAAAAAAATTAACAGCAGTAGTCAATTATATGGGCCCAAAGAAACAAAGACTAAAGGAAGGTAATAATAAGTGATTCTGCATAATCGATGAACTTAGTTTGCTAAATTAATAAAATGCTCTCCAGTTTTCTTCATGTCAGAAGACAACAGAGGTTGGGGCTAATTTGAAATTACCTTGCAAACAAATGAATTTGAATATGGTTTGCCCTTCGCAAAGTCCAAGCGCTTAGGAACCTGGCAACATGCGATGCGTTAGATTCATTAGAGAAACGTAACTGTTACTTAAAATGCCTCGAACTCAAACTGAATGCATCCACAAATAATATATACCTTGTGCCGAATTACTTCCTTATTAATCACTTAGAGAACACTAGTTAGGGAGGCACGTGCCTGCACTTTAATTACAGTTGTTACTAAAAGGTTTGGTGTAGCTCTAGCTCTAATACTACTGGAATTTTCGTACTGGAATTTTCAATTTGAAACTAATATAGATCATTTCTGACCCTAGTGCTCTAATGAAAAGTTCAAATTGGCATCTCTGTTCTGTTATGAAGATTGAAAGGCATATTCTTTATTGTCGTTTGTTTTATTCCCCGAATCACTAAATCTTGAATGAAAACGTTTTATGTTTTTAGTACACTCTACAATGTGTAGCTGCACGCCATATTGTATGTAGCTATATGATCTATCATATATGGCTATGCATATCTATACACTTAATATTCTATATTTTTGGTTAAAGTTAACTTTCTATTTTGTGTGTATGAAAACATATGAAACTACGTGGATTTTAAAGTAAATGGAGGTAAAACTTGGTGTTTATAAGCAGACCTTAAATCAACATCCTTGTTCCACAAACCAAAAATAGATGATCGCTCTTTTTATACAGAGTAATGACATGTGTGTGGGCCCACACGCACACGCGCGCACGCATGCACTCCCGCGCGCACTCACGTATGCACACATGTGCACACACACATATATGTATATGTAGATACACACACGTGTGTGTGTGTGTGTGTGTGTGTGTGTGTGTGTGTGTGTATACTGTGTGTGCATTAGTTTTGATGTTGTTATCACCTTAATACCCAAGTTCTAGGCTTGGTTGATGAATCCTATTCTCTGAAACCATCTTTTTATCTTTAATAACTCAAAGGTTTTTTAACACTTTAATACCCAGAAATTATAAATATTTTAACTTTGATGAGACAAAGATTCACAATTTTTTACATTGATACCTTAAAGTTTACATATTCTTAACTTTAATACTCTAACCCAAGTTGGGGTATTTATGTGTTAAAAGCAACTTTGTGTATGTCAATGTTAGAAAGTATAAAGTTTGTTGTAACGAAGTGTCAGAAAAATTTAGATGGAATTATTGTAGATTTGAAGGACTAATATGGAATTATTGTAGATTTTGGGTATCAAAGTTCAAAGAACTATGGAATATTAAAATGAAATAAGGTGTAAGGTACCAAATTGCAAGTAACCTTTTTTTGAAGAAATTAGAATTTGGGAGTGAAAACACAATGGAGCAATGTTTATCAGGGGGATTAATGAGCAATTTCAAAGATTTAGGGGACTAATATAGAGATATTGTAGATTGAGAGACTAAAATGGAATAATTGTAGTCTTCATGTGCGGCTGAACATATGAAGCTGCCACGTGGGTTTAAGTTTAGGGCAAAAAAAAAAAAGCAATGCCAACATTGAACTCCGGACCTTAAACAATGGAAGGTAGGTATCCAACCACATAGGCTACATTGCTGGTTAGCCCAATGAGTATCCTTTTTAATTTTGGCCTGTTATTAGAGTATGATGCCACAAACAAAAACGCATTTTGGGCTCTTTTTATATGGAGAATGATATCCTGTTTAGTGGTAGACCTTGTGTCATCTTATTTTGACCCCACTTTACAAATTCATACTATTTCCATCAGACAATGTACTACAAAATTCCTAAATTATTACTTTATGAATTTCATCAAATTTATTTGATAATATTGAGATGTATCTGAGACCACTCTTGAAAATTAACTAGGGTATTCTATCAGGAACTGTCAAAAAATTGTGAATGCACGATACTAAGGTTTCTTTTATTTGCGCCATTTATTAAGATAATTACAAGTAATGTTTTATCTTGTATAACTGACCTTGCTTCTCAAGTTGCATAGTGCTCCCTATGTCAGATGTGGATTTGATGCTTCAATTACTCTTTGAAGCTAAAAAGAATCGAAGGAAACAAGTGGCATTTACAATTTACTCAGAAAGGTCATATTGAAATGAACTTTAACCATTATAGAAGTTACAATATAAAATTATAACCCTCATTCATCACCATGACTTTAGAGTTTTGGTGTTGTGGCAGTGTCTTTTGACATTGTATTCCGATATTGTATCAAAGAAATCCAGGTTCAAATCCTACTGGTCTAGGTTTCGGCCCATAAAAGCGTGCTCAATCTGCAGAGGCATTGTTAGAATATAAAATTATAACCATCAACCCTCACCATAACTTCAGAGTCTGGTGTAGTGGCAGTGTCTTTTAACAATGGAATTGTAAAAAGCTCTCACAAACATCCTCTATGTCATATACTAATTGCAACTTGCAACAGGGAACCTCTTCAGGAAAAGAATATTACGTGTAGAATCAACCCCAAAGTGCATCTAACATACTGTTCTTGATAATTCTGCAGCACGAATGTCTACATTGTCGACTGGTGCTGCAAAAGAATGATATCAAAATGAAAAGCAAAAAAAACAGCGGGGATGTCGTGGCAACATGATGCAGAACCTTAATGGGAAAAGGATAGTTGATAACAATGAGGTGACATCCAGATTATGGATTGGCAATGGATGTGAATTACCAACCAAAATGAGTGAGACAGTACCTTAGAAGCTTGATGACATGGATGAAAGTAGCAGGAAAGAAAAAAAAAGCATTGAGAATGTTGAGATATTTGAGTAGCAATCTGCTACATGATAAGTTAAGAAACGATGCCTCAGTAAAAATTTAGAGGTAGCTTTAGTTCAGTATAAAGATGAAATTTCAAGTGAAGAAAAAATGACAGAAAATCAATTGAGATGTTTGACCATGTAGAATGGAGACCTATAAATGTTGTCAATTTGAATGACATGATCATAGCCCATAGGTGATAAAAAAACTATAATTTACAAGACGGTAAACAGTTACAGGTAGCTGGGATTGGGTATATAGAGGTGACTTCAAGAGATGATAAAATTTAGAGAATCTACATCGATAGTTTGAACATGTAAAATGTAGATCAAGGTCTGAGCCTATAGAAGAGGTAAGTGTCAAGTTGATAATGCGGTTAAGGTTCTTCCTAATCCTAATGAGCATGTATATGGCATTGTAGAGGATGCACTATCTGCTAATCTGACAAACGTTGGCCCTCATAGAGCTGAATCACGAAAAAGAATCATGTACCTGAATGCAAATAATTTCCTACATGCCTAGTTGTTAGGGTGTTGACTACAAAAAATGCATGATGGCAGAGAATAGGAGTTGTAGGGAGACCATGTCACAGGAACATTGAATACATTTTTATACATATAAAATCATCCGGAAGCTCTTGAAAAGGCGATGATGAATAAGATGGATTAGTTAACTAAACTTTATATTGTGCTAGTTTCAGTTTCTCAACAGTTAACAGCCTCCACCCATTTATTTTGGTTAATTGAACGGAGAAGAAGCACAATGATGTATGTCCTCATAGTTTCTATTTACCAAATAGTTAAGCAGTGGGAGATTTTCAGATCATAATACAGAAAACCAAATAATATATTAGACAATGTTTGATGTAAGAATAGCAATATAGTCCTTTACCTCAGCCATTGCTGGACGAAGCTTAGTGTCGACTTCAAGTCCAAGACCAGAAGACCTGACTTTTGAACCACGAACAACTGCTTGCAACTTTATGAGTCCCAACATAGAATGCAGGGTTACAATTGCTTGTCTCCTCACCAAATGTCCACGAACTAAGGCCTGAAGTCTTATGATACCCTTTAGTGCACGAAATGCCCTACGTGCCTGTGACAGCAATATGTATGAATTATCAATGTCTAAGCGAAGTTAGTAAACATTAGCAATGAAAGATTACTAGGAACATAAGATGCCATAACTAGAAACCTGTCCTATCTCACAAGCACACACACACAGGCACTCATGCACGCATGCACACACGGGCATTTAGATAACCAGACACGCAGTCACTCACACACACACACACGCACACGGACAGTTAGATAATCAAACATTCCATCATACATTTGCTACAGACTAATGAGATTATAGCCACTTCTAGAAGTAGAGATGAAATACATGCGGGAACCAGAATCAAAGAAGAACAAGTAGGAGCATAATAAAGTTTCATACCAGAAACCTGCCCTACACAAGCACACGTGCGCACGCGCACACAGAGGCTAGCAGATAGTAAAGATTCCATCATTCCATTAGCTAATAATAATAGGTATTGAAACATACGTTGGTATCAGAATCAAAGGAGACCAAGTAGAGGAATAATAAAAAGAAAAAATTACAACAATCCTGAAGCCTTTCCAATTTTAAAATGTAAATACCATGAAGTGGGTGAAAACTTACCAAAAAGCCCCGAAACACAGCCTGTGTCTTTATTGCTGCCTGCTCTTCTCTGAGTTTTTCCAGGTTACTTGATTCAATGGGACCAGTAATAGCTTGGTTCTCTGCATTTTGACAACTAGGTGGTATGAAGGAAGGCTCAGCAGCACCCAAAGTAAAAGAATTTCCTTTCTCCACTTCTCGGTTGATTCCATTACTGTGAGTACTGACAAGTACTGGTTCAGAAATCACAGGTGTATTCTCAGTCAAAGCTGGAGGTTCTTTAGCTACAGTGTGTCCTTTGTCAATTCCAGTTATCTTCATATAATAATTGTAAGAAAAGTTAGTAAAAAAAACATATTGAATGAGGTAGAAGGTAAAATAAGGATGAAACCTTAAAGTAAATTGAACGCAAAATGGTGTTGGTAAAACATTATTGATCTCCTCAGGGACAGATTCAGAATTTTTTTTCCTATGTGGGCACAAATAGAATTATACATAAAATTAATAACTTATATAATGAAATTTCTAATGGTAGAAAATTTTATTTATACAATAATCATTAAGATTACAACACATAAAGATTTTCATTATCATTTTCGTATTATTACAAGATCATTTAAATTTTCACATGGACTAATGAAATAAATATGAGTTGAAGTAAACTGGGCTTAAATAAATTTGCCTTGAATATTGGCTGAAAATTGAAATGATTGGGTGCACTGTGCATAATTGAATGGAGGCACCAATGAAAATTAGAGGCAATGTTTAAAAAAAATTATGAAATCTGTAGGGGCATATGCCCCGGGCCCACATTAGATCCGTCCTTCAATATTCTCATCAGACAATAAAAATTGAATAAATGGTATGGCATTTCCATCAAAATTGAACTATAAGACTGAAACTTAAATAGATACTTAACAAGTGAACTTAGTGAAGTGGGTAAAATAATATAAGCCCTATTAACTATTTCATTTCAGTTGAGCAGAGTACGGTAAAAAGTTTGCTTGAAGACCGGCTGATGAAACGTCAACCATAAAGTGTTACTCCAATTGCTTCAGTATGATCTTATAACCATACATTGCAGATCAAACTTCTCAAACTGGCTTAGTAGCTCAAAACCTAAAAGTTTCAAGTGTAAATAAACAACAAAGACCCAACTGAACGGAAAAGAAAATTCAAATTTTCTTCTCTTAGCTGGGACTAGGGTGATCTGATAGACAACGATTACCCAAATGAAGACTTAGGTTTACTTGTTGAAATGTGATGATAAACCTTAGCCAGTCTCACATTTAAATTGTTTATTTGGCTCCTATTTTAGGTGTTTTTATTCTGCAACCAAATTAGCAAAGTCATTTAAGGTGATTTTTCCATCAACCCACTTTCTTGCAAACTTTTTGATGCTAGCCAAGACTAGAATTCAGGCAAACCATTGTTTCCAAGAGTTAAAAAACTGAATTTTCTCAACAAATAAAAATGGAATTACAGATACATATATCTCTAAATCTTGGGGAAACATTTTGGCCGAACATGCTCGCCATTGCTATTCATATTAATGTCTACTAGTGCTGCAACTGGTGCATTATATGTCTAATAGTGTACCATAGTTGTATGATTTGTGGTTCAAATAGCAATCACTATTAAGTAAACTCAAATTCCTGAATGTTTCAATGAAGGGACTAGAATGATTAGAAGTTGGCATTAGATTCAGAACTCTAGCAAATATCGCTACCATGATCGCGGAGTTTATAAAACCCAGAATACTACCATCATCAATTAATCCATCCTTTTTTCATAGAATTAAACTAGGTGCACATTAGAAGTTTATAAAGTCTATTCATATGTTCAACTAAATTTCATACCGAAGCGTTTCTCCCTTTCACACTGTTAGATCTGGCCGTCTTCTTTCCAAACAAGAGCGTTTTAATCCATTTACCCGGAGATTTCCCCATTTTCCAAAAAAGCCGAGGTTTTTCAAAAGCTCAAAATCTCAGGCTCCAGATCCTAAAACAACAAGATCACAAGACAAATCGTCAATGGCAGAAATTACACCTCTTGAATATCCAATTTCTTCAAAAAAAATAGCACATTGGAGCCCAAGTCTACGAACTTTTAACTGAGAATCTCAGAGATCTGAAGCTCACCGGCGAAATCGAGCTCGCAGCCGAAATCCTAGCTCAAAACTGAGCTCGATTCCCAAGGAAAGCTTAACCCAAATCCCAAAGAGAAGAGAAAGGATCTGAGGATTCCAGAGGATTGAACTGAAAACTACAGTTCCGAGATCTGGAGAAAAACTAAAACAATTGAAGTAAAAAAAAAAATTTAAAAAGAAGCCCACGAAAAAGGGAAATAACTAAACAAATAAAATGGAGTAAAAGGATAAAAATAGGACATTGCTGCTTGTAGCAGTAAAGCAGCATGCAGGTTGAAGGCAGAGCTGGTGGGCCCCGCTCAACCCACCAAACTAAAACAAACGATCAGACCATAAACTTTTGACTGGTGATAAGAACTGATGACGTGGCTTAAGCATGTGAGGTGTCAAATGGGGGTGCGATTTCTGGGTGCACGGTTTTCTATTTTGGTAAAAGGTATCGGACTGCTTTTCTACTGGGGCTCAAGCTGCTAGTTGTTCCGCCCAAATTTTTTTAAAATTTTAAAATTGTCTGTATTTTTACATATACACCCTTGTACAAATACGAGTTGCGGTTGTTATTTCGACAGTTGAACTGACCGTAAACCAAATTGACGCGTGACCGACCGACTGTGTCTTGGGTCCAATGAGAACCTCTCCCTCCCTCTTTTTTTTTTCCTTTCTTTACTTTTTCCTTTTTTCTTTCATTTTTTTCTTTCCTCTTTTGTTTAAACGTCTAGTGAGGAGAATGGAGGGCTCGCGTCCATAAAAGTTTGTAATTAAAAGTTAAACCTCTAATATTCAAGTTCATTTGAAAGTAATATAGAATTAAGTATTATCTTCTTGTATGTGCAAATATATGTGAAAAGTAAGAGTTCATCATTTCAAATTAATAATATACAAAATTTTGTTCGTACGAGAGTATATCTATGCAAAATAATGTGATCTGCTATTTGTTCGTTGTTTTTTTTTTCCCAACTCTACCTTAATAAATTTTTCCCAAATAATCATTTGCCACCACGATAATAATTCCTTACCTTTACATACTTTTCATTTTTTGGATTAACTATCAAAATTACATATAACTTTCATGACTCTATATGCATCTTTAAAATATAAAACTATGATTCTCAACCCTTATTAGAACTTTAGAGTTATGGTGTAGTGACACGATTTTTTGATATGGCATAAGAGCTATCTATATTTAAACCCAATTGACTACAAATTTAATACAGATATTAAAATTTTGAGCTTCTATCGGATTGACGACAATAAAAGTTAGTGAGAATTTGACTTTTTCAACAATAATAGAGTGGACATCTCAAGCACTAATATCTTGCTTAGATTTCTAATTTCCATGAGTACTAATCAATCAAAAAACTATGGACAAATAAATTGGAGTTAGATATCGGACTCAACTCAAATCATTTCTAACCTGGTGATTAACGGCTCTTTATCTTTCCTTGTCCAATAAAAAGCAAATAAACAATCATTGTCTATTCCCCATTTTATTCATATCTTATAGTAAAAAAATCAAAATTTTTTATATCTTATAAGAAAAAAACACCAATCCGTAATTTTTTTATTAGTTGGATTAAGTTAAGTGAACCCTAAAATATAGTTTGTCTAGCTAGAATGTGGAGTGAGACGTGGTTCACACGGACCGCGTCTTTCGAGTCCTGGGCAAGCGGTCACGACAACAAAGTTTGAATTTGCACTTTTGTAGGTGGGCCCCTGTCTTTGTTTTTTCAGCATTTATGCTCTGCCAAAAAAAATAGTAATTTGGCTACATGGAAAAAGTACTATTTGGTTTTCAAGAATTTATGGAATCTTTTTTATCTTGACTACGCGCTAATCTATTCAAAACTTATTAAACTGACCAAATGAGCGGATTTTAACAGTTCGTTTTATTTAGAATATGTTTCGGTCAGTTTGCTTTTAGAAAATTTAACCCAAACTAAACGAGCTGATCCCTCTCTCAATCGTCCAAAATATATCATTTCTTCCTTTTAGTTAATCTAAAAATTTTGTCTCTTTTTCTTTAAAATTTTAATTATCTCAAGTAATATGCATCGTCCTTTTATCAATCACTTAATTCATATTTCTCATTCACCAAATTTTTGGATATGCAACTTTCTTTTGGATTAAAATAACATATTTTCTTAATTGAATGGGTATAAATATAATGCAAAATTGAATAGACCTAATCAAATCAACCAAGCTAATTTTTATCAGTTCGGTTCAATTTTGAATTTAGAACGGTTCAATTTTGTCAAAAAATTTCATATCCCGACTAATCCAACTGTTTTCTTACCACGAGCTATGCCTTATTCTCTAACATCGATGGTATGCATGTGAATGCCCAAACATAGAAAACCAAATTATGTATGTATTTAATCAACTTCACAAATAATGAAAAGCCTAAGAAAAGTTATAAGAGTAAATAAATAAAGAATATCAACACATATTTTCACAGTATAATGTAGAACTTTTTGGAGTTCCAATCTTTTATAGTTAGCATCCAATCGAAGTTAATCATTTCTTTCAAAATTTAATTACAAAGATGGTAGCTATTAAATGTTTGGCAATCAACAATTCAGGGGCTTATGTGCAAAAGCAATATGCTTTCCTCTCTCTCTACACGCCGTTAGTATATCGGAATCAGACGACAGCTGTAGGCCCTCCTTGGTCCTTTGGCGTAAAGCTCCCGTGCATTCTCGCTGAGAAAATTTTATAAGCATACATACCTATCCTAGGGTTGGAACTGGTCCAGTGTGGTTGGCTGAAAACCCAGCCCGGTCCACTCGGATTGGGCCTAACTCAGCCCACATTGTAGGTGAGTCAGAGTGACCTGAACTAGATTTTGATCTAGACCCAAGACCAGAAAAACAGGTCTGGTCCACTAGAGACTTGACCTACAAGTGACCCGTTAACTATGAATATTTTGTTTATTTTCATTTAACCCGACTAAGAATAATTTTTTTTTAAACCCTTGAAGGTCACTAACCCAGTCTAGTGGCTAACATAACAATGTCACATATATTTGTGTGTTTGTGATATTTTTCTGTGTGATGTTTATCTTTATGCAGCACACACGTATACATTTTTCATTTTAAATAAAAAGTTTGAAATAGGAAAAAATAAATTAAATATAATTTTATAAATATAGATACAAGTTGAATATTGTTAAAAAAGAGGAAAAAATTGAAAAAAAAACTCATATGCCCACGATACACAGGCCATGGGCCGATTCTGGCCTTGCCAACCCCCTAGGCGGGTTGTGGACCGAGCTGGGTCTAGTATCGCACCCGGAATCAGAGAGGCAAGCTCAACCACTTTAAAACATACAAGCACCGATCAGAGTCAGTCCCACTTTGAACCTAACGGGTCGACGCACATATCTGAACCGATTTGGCCCACACCCATTCCTATCTTCATCTAATAAAAACTGACAATCCGTGTATAATGTGCTATATAGACATATAAACACCTAAATAAAGAACTTAAAATATCAAAGAATCTTTCTACGATATGTTTCAACACCATGTGTGCGGCATGTGCAAGTAATAAATGGATAATTTTGGACATCAAAAGGTCAAACTATATATAAAAAAAAGAATATACTCGACATAAAACTACTCTATTGCGAAGTAAAATTAGATTTCAAAATACAACAGTGGTCGACGCATTCTGGTGTGACTAAAATGATGATCTTATCGACATTCTGTATCTTGATAGCTCATATAATAAAATAAACTCTAAGCAATTACGTCCCAATTAAAGAATTAATATAACCTTGTACAGAGCAACGTATGTAAATAAGATCGTAAAAAAAAATGCCAAAAAGTACAAGCTCTCGCCACCTTTTTGCCCAACGTCTCTGGCGCATGAGACCCAGAGTTGAACGATAAGTAAATAGTAAATAAAATTAATTCGATTTTAGATAAAAGCACCGCACAACTTAGTATAAATACCCGATGGGACCCAGCAAGAGGAAAAGAGAGAGCCACAAGCAGCAGCAGCATTATTAATCAGCTTACAATTCGAGGACAGCTTGGTGATTTTAGAACACGACGCATACCAAGGAAAACGCAAAGGTGCTATATTAACAAGTGAATTTGAAATAGGATTCTTTCTTTTCCTTTTTGGACTCGCAATTTAAACGGGTAATTCAATTTTCTGGTTTACTTTCCACAAATTAAGTAAACTCCTCGAAATCATAATTGAATATAAAAGTGTAATATGGGCAACTTTAGATTTATTACTAAGTTTTTAACGGGTTCGGACATGCTTGAGATATGTACGCATATCTCATCCATCCAATTGAAACGAATTAGTATGATGAGAATAGAAGGTAATACGACCAAATAGAAGGCAATACGATCAAATATGAGTATGATTGACAAAAGACTTTAAAGTATTATTTGAGCGAAAATGAGAATAGAAGGCAATACGATCAAATGAGTTTCACTGAAAAAAGTTTTTCCATTTATTAGCATTAACTAATGCTAGCAGACGAAAAAAGAAGAGCTACACGGAATACAAGTCTCTTTTTCTTCTTTCTCTCTCTCTCTCTCTCTCTCATTTTTTTTTTAGAATTTTTACCCGGATGAGATATTTAGTCAAATCATCCTGAAGCTAAATCTCCGATGCGTTCAATACTCACTGCTGCTCTTCATCATGTAATTGTTTCATGAACATTGAAACATGAAATACTTTATGTACACTAGACATCCATGCTGGGAAGTCTAGTCCATATGAAACAGCCCCAATAAGCTCCAAAATCCGAAACAGTCCAATATATCTTAGTACAAGCTTTCTCCGCCTTCCGAATCGCTGAACGTCTTTTATAGACGATACTTTCAGCATAACTAACTCTTCAAATCTGAAACTCTAAATGTCCTCATTTCTTATCTGCATAGCTCTTTTGCTGACTCTGAGCAGCTAGAACCTGTTCTATGATTTATGTTACTTTCTCAGTAATCTATCTCATAAGCTCTGGCCCAAGCATTAAAATATCCTCCTGCTCTACCCAATATATAGGCGATCTGCAAGGCCTCCCGTACGATGCTTCATACGGGGCCACACCAATTATCGCTTGATAACTGTTGTTATAAGAGAACTCTATCAGTGGAATATGATCCTTCCAGTTGCCTTGAAAGTAAATAACACAAGCTCGCAACATGTCCTCCAACATCTGATTTACTCTCTCCATCTTACCATCCATCTGTGGGTAGAATACACTACTGTAAGATAAATCTGTTGCCAAATGAATCCTGGAAATCCTTTAAAAAAA